CCCCAAGATCTGGAGGTCAGGCAACAGCTTTTAAAGGAATTTTTATTTGATTCATTATGGTGGGTAAAAACTGCACTGTTCGGACCTGCATGAAGATGTCAAATAGGTTACAAAGGGCAGGAATGTTGCTCAAGCCTATCTCAGCTATTAATACACTGTCATTTGTATTGGTCTTATGCAAAATACCAATTTGAAATATATAGGTAGGATTATTATTGTTAATATATTTTACATTTTAGAGAATATCCCCAAAGGTATAAACGACATGCTTGTCCATGTTTAAACAATTTAAAACCAAAGCTAACCTGCTGATGTTATTAGTAAAATTTCCAAAATTTGGTAACATTTGCATTCTATAGAATGGCCATATAAGGAAACAGCTATAAAAAAATGGCATAGAGAACTGATTACTAAAGAGACCATGTGAGATCAGCAGCAGCTTAGAAGTGATGGAACAATAAACTCACAGTGAAGGAATCACACTACAGAATTATAAAGCAGAAAAGATAACTGTCCCCTATAGGAAAATTATCTCGCAGTAGGCCCCATTGCCGAGTCTTTCTCTCTTACCTCATCTCTTTTGTTGACTGGAAGTGCTTTGCAGCACAAAGGTTTTGTTCGATGTTGTCTCGTGGTACCACAGGAGAGTCCTGGGCGATGACTAAGACTTCTAAATGAAATGGTAATAACCATGCTATAGAAGTTTAATGATAAAGTAGTAAATGTTCTATGGTATGATTATAGCGACAACTAAAGCTGTCCTTTTTCTGTTCAATAGCAGAAGCAGTGGTAAACAGTGATTAATCTTTCCTCCTCGTCCCCTCCATGAAACACAACAAATCTTGCTGATGGAGAAAGTTTGGGTTCCATTTTTTAATGTGAATGAATACATCCTGGTGGTGATAGTCAGAATGGGTAGAGATGGATGGTTATGCATTCTGAATATGTTTGGATTGCTGCAGCTTAGCGAGTTTGCCTTCTGGCCTCCGCTTCTTGTGATCAATCAAATATCTTTTAAAAATGCAACACCGGGAAAGCTTGACATTGGCCATGTAAATGTTTCTGAGTTCTTGGCTCTTTTGTTTTTACCTAGGGTTCATGGAGATGAGATAAATCCCAAGACTGGTTCGTGTGCCATCAAATAAAAATGAACCTTGTAATAAGCACAGTTTGTGTTTTTGGTGCTCAGGCATTGTAAATAAATTATGTTCAGAGGTGCCAAGTGTAAACTGAGAATATTCATTCATAAATCCAAAGGCTAGAGACTATGCTGTTCAAAACTGCAAGGACACAAATACGCTTTGGATTCTGTGGTGGATGCGCATCCTTGCTGCTGCTGCTCAGCTTTTCAGTAGGGCTGGAACTGTCCCTTCTCTCCCCCTCTGCCCTTGATCTGCTGCGCACCTTCTTGCAGCGCAAATCATCTTTACAAACTGCGGACATCACGCTCACTTGTTCTGTATTCATTTCACAGAGTACAAGGGAAAGGAAGGCTGTGCAATCTCCTCCTCAAACTTGTACTGTTCTAGCTTTAAAAAAAAAAAACTCAAATTTGTCTTAAGCCTAAAAATTCATAATGGCTACCACTTCAGGCATTGAAGATGGACAATTAAAATATGCTATAAACTCATCAGTCCTCGTATTAGAAATAAATTAGCTCTACTTTTTAAAAAGGAACCTTACTAGAATTAGGTAATCTGCAAGAAGATGTCTAAATCAGTTGTATTAATGAGAATGAAAACCGCTTCCAAATCAGGATGGACACTTCCTGAGACTTGGCACGACCCCAGTCAAAAGAAACATTTCCAAACTCAATTTGGGACAGAAGGAATTCAGATGCTCACTCTTGTCTGCTTTCAGAAGAGAAATAGCAAAATTAACAAAGGTTTTTGATGCCAGCAACCCTCAAATCAAGGATGATTGAAAGAAAAAGAATGTAATTTTCTCATCTCTCTCTCTTTGACAAGTTTGCAGCAATGTGACAGCATGTGTTGCTTTAATTTATCTGTATCAGTTTTGATTTTCTGTGTCTTTCCTGTGGGACAACTGATCGGGGGGGTAGAAGAAGGTTAAGTATTTTTAGCAACAGTTTATTAATTCGGAGTGTGACACAGTTGTGTCATTGCACTGTGAAATTTTGTCTGCTGTGGTAAAAGCCATCTTATTTCAATGTGGAATGAAGTGCCTGCCTGTTTTCATTTATGATTACTGACATTTAAATAATTACTCAGTTAAGTTCTCAATCGCAGAACCACTTTTCATTGAATACAGATGGCTCCTTCACTAGTCACATACTATGTTTTTCTGTATAGCTCTTAATATTTCAAATAAAATGTCACTCTCTTTGGTCTGGAGAGTTTAGTGCAAGGTAGCACTAAAAGTCCACTGATCTCTCTCTCTGTCTATCTACCTTTTCTTGGCGAGGGACAGGGAGCAGTTTGTGGTGAGTTATCTCAGCGGAGGCTCTGCAGCATTGATAGAATATGTGAGTGACATGCAGCTGCGTGTTTATCAGAACTGGAAAGCCCAGGCTAGCTGCTCGTGTCTGTCAACCCCTAGCAGTATTCTGGCAAGCACTCCTGCTCCAGGGTTGGTATTGTCTATGGACTGTGTTACCCATGCTATTAATGGCAAAATAGTTCAACTTGTACACACAAAAAAATATTTCTCTTTAAAAAGACAGCTGACATGAGTCATGCTGTAAACGGGATTTGATTAAAGAGCAATTACTAACAAAAATTAAATAGGCTACTTCAAAATTATTTTTTTAAAAAGACAAAAATGAATGCTTTGAGCTGCAATGACCAGGATTGTCTTCAGCCAATTTTGTTTCCTCATCCCGTAGCTCTGGTGGCTCTTGAACGTATTTTGTCTGCAAAAAGAAGACAAAGTGATTAATTTTATTTTAGTGTGGACACCTTGTGTTAGCTTAATTATGGTAGTTCCAAGAACTGGGCTTTTTTTCCACCTAGTGTCTGAAAAGGAAAAGACAGGTTTGGAGAAAGTATTTCCTGACTGTGTATAGGACTGTGTATTTATCCATCACAGTGGAATAACCAAGGTGAGGCTTCAGGTCCCTTTCCTCCTTCCCATCCCTTATTATGAGACCCCAGTTGGGGGCATAGGATAATGCTGTTCAGGTGATGTGACATGTGAAACACCATCATTCAAATCATGTTTTCAGATAGCTTTCCCTTGCCCTGCCTAAACAGAAGAAGCACTAAGAGCAATTAGTAGACTTACAGACTTCTAAAAAAAGTATCCTGCTCAGTTCGTGTGCATCACAGAAGTCAGAAAAATACGTTGCAAAAGGGCTGTCTCTGTACCCAAGCTCATCATTTCCCCCTTTCAATAGCATAATTGCTGTTGACTCATATTTCTGTTTACCAGTAGGCTGAAGTTATGACCCATGCTTTATTTAAAAATTGCTATAATATATTATTTTCTGGTCTGAGCATCTTTTATGCAAAAAAGATGTGGCTCTTTTGCTGTTGTGGTTCTTTTACTTTAGAAGGAGAATATAGCTTTTTCTTTTTTCCTAACAATTGCACTAACCTACTTTTAATTAGTGTCACGTCATTTGAATAGGTTGCCCACAAATATAAGAAGGATTGGAGATACCTGCTTTGGTAGTTGGCTTGTTGCCACCTCCGATCAAACAAATTGCTGTGTATTGATTCAGTTTCAGCTGACCTGGAAAATGAATTCTGGAAGAAGCACAGATGTCGCCTGTATCCCACATTTCTGCAGATGAGGATAAAAGTTGCTTTTTTCCCCCCTCAGACCTCCAAAAAACATATCCAGCAAGAGCTTAGCGTTATGTGCCGTTACAGTAACATCGATGGGATGCAGGGCCAGACAAGTACAGCTCCTGTCTACGCTACAGATTAATGTCTTTAATTAGACTCTTGAAAGCTTAGCCAATAAAGGCATAAACATGTTAAAAATTGATATTTATTACATTGTAGTTTATACAGTGAGATTCACATCAGATTAAAGCATTAACTATTAAACCAATTCCTGCAAACCAAATTGCAAGCATTTATGATGTCCATTTTCTGAAAGACTTGTTTCTACAGAAAACCTCTAGTCCACTGACAGCCAGCATAATATTCTACAAATTCTCAGGAAATTATTGTATTTCTTGTTTGCTGAGGGCAATGCCTTGATGAGCTAGCTGTTCACAGCTGCCACTTCCAAAACCATGTCTTTAGACCGGTTGCGCTATAAATCTAACGGAACGGTTTTACTACAGTGGTGCCATTTGCCGTAACTTTATTCAACTGAAACATGACCTGGTCGGGAATAAAGCAAGCGGTCGAATAGATCATAATTATTGTCCATTTGGTCCCTTTAGTAACCACACGTGTCCTTTTTAGGTATTGTAGTTTGAGATGTCATGCTCCTTCCAGAACTGAGTGCATGGGCTAAAGTTTTAATATTTAACTTGGAATTTAAGAGGCAAGGGCATAAGTGCTTAGAAAGTAACAAGGAGCTGTATTCGGCTAAACTCCAGCTAAGCCTCTAAATCTAGTCAGCGGAGCACTTTCAAGTAGAGCTTGGGGTTCTTTGCACAAGTCTCTGAAACACGTCTATGAAAATTTTCTTCGATAGATTTACAGGCATGGTTTGGGGCTCAGTTTGCAGATGCGCTCAGTGAGAGTGGGTACATAAGCAGCCTAGTAAGTCTAAATCTCCTGCTTCTATGTCATTAGGTGCAATTGAAAGCTACTGTTAAAGAAAAATGGTAGTTGGCAAGACACCTTAAGGAAAAGTGGTAGTATTTCCATGAGACACGTTAAAGAAAGTGCTGTAGGCAATGCTGAAACATGATTTTATCCTACATTCTATTCTCAAGGACTTTATTTCCAAAAAATGAGTGTATCAAGTGGCTTTCTTCCCAAACCTTCTCCCTCTCTTCTGTTTTCAACTGAACCTATAGAGAAAAACAAGGCAGTGACAGCTTTTACAGATGAGACCTGCATTAATTGTTTTTTCAGGACTACAAGTAGAGGGCCTCTTCAGAAGGTCAGCCAGCATCCAGACTATCAAAGATGTTCAGAAACTCTACAATCAGGGTAAGTTGTCATTGTACCATTGCCAGTAATAGTGAGGGCTTTGTTGATCTTGGTTTTGTTGGTGAAACAGAAATGCTAGCTTTCTTATAATTAGTTAATCATAAAACTATTTGTAACATAAAATAATAAGAGCACTACTTATACAGAAGCCTGAAAGATAGCAACAGGCACTTAATGCTTACTGAATAGTAAGCTGTCAGTTGACGTCAGACCAGAGCTTACAAAATCTGTAGCAGCTAATGAATGATAAGATTTGAGTCAAAAACGGTCTGTATTTTTATGAACATTCGTATTGCCTCTACACGCTTCTGTAGTTACGAAGTACAATGTCTCTGTGTCATTTTGCCTCTGGTGTTTTTCCATGGTTATGGCAAAGAAATATAATTTTACCTAATAATATATGAAATGTGGTGAAGTAATTTTGAAAGTCACTGACTTCCCTGGGAAGTCATTTTATGAAATGCCTTTATGGGAAGAATCTTTTATAGCAAGATTAATAAAACTCTATGAAAAATACAAAAATAAAATGCCAGGAGTTACCAGTAGCAGCAAGGCAAGAGGTTTTCTGTTCAGAATGTAGTGTGAAACAGTTTTTAAGCAGTAGTTTGAAGACAAAGTAAAACATATGATTGAACACCTTTTTTCTTCTTTTTCTCCTTTTAGGCAAGTCTGTGAATTTTGATGATTATCATGATATCCATATTCCTGTTTTTTTTTTCCTAAAGACTTTCCTAAGGGAACTGCCTCAGCCATTACTAACGTTTGAGTGTTATGATCATATCCTTGGAATCACCGGTGAGTATAAATAAGCGTTAGAAAAATGTATACAGCAAGTTGAACTGGACCTGGCTAATTCGTAATCACTGCTGTTTGCTAACCATGACGCAGTTGTGGGTATATAATATTATTAGTGCTTCACTGCAGCCATGGATGGACAACCTCATAATCCATACCAGAGCAGGGTGGTCAGGGTTACCAAGACCCTCTCTGCTTTTTACAAGGTTTACTGGCTATCTATATATTATACTGTATTACTGGATCGGACTTCTCACTGTTAGGGCTCCATTTTCATGTCATGGCACAGCACTGAGTCAGTCTCAGTGATACAAGTTATGTCAAAGCAGTTTTAGTTTTAGCAGCAGGATTGCGAAAATTGTGGAAACAAAATTTAGTTGGTCATTTGTATGCTGCTTTCTTTTTTTTTCCTTTTTTTTTTTGTGGGGAGGGGATTTGTTTTTATTGCAGCTATTCCCAGGGGATAACATATTGGGGAAGAAAGGATCTAAAGCCATGAGACTAGAAGACATTGATTGTCTAAAGATCTGGCACCACATAAAACTATGAATTATAAAACTTTCATTATGTGACCTTTGTCAGGGACAAGGAGTTTACAGTGTTGGCAAGGCAACCCCATAATACATAGGGGTTGAATATCTGAGATCCCAGAATATCTGGGAGTTAGTACCTAGTACTTGTAGAGACTGGTATTTTGCCATCCAGGCTATAGTCAAGCTAGCAGGGAACCCATAGGTCTTCCAGTCACAAGTAACAAGCACATGTTTTTCCAAAACCTGCTTTTTGAGAAAATTATATCTAAATGGAGTATGGCTTCCAACAGAGTCTGTTAGCGTACCTCTGGTAACCATGGGCTGATGCCGTTGCAAAGTGTAGGTTATCATCACTATAATAACTGTTGCTGTTGGGGTAGGGCACTAAAATAATTCAGACTGGGGATAAATCTCAATTACTACATGTTTGTAAAGTGTAGAAGTACAGCAAGTCTACAGTTACACTGTATTCTAGGTAAAATTCTTATACTGTGCCCATCACTAGCATCTGCACATACTGTTTCATATCATTAACTTTATTCATGTATTTCCATTAAAAAACTTAATCGGGTCATGCTCAGAACCCTCTGAAGTTCTCTACTCTTTTGCTATTTGCAAGTCTGTAGATCACCACCTTCCAAATTAAGGATTCATCTGTTCCCACAATAAATATCTCAGGGCATTGAGAAAAACAGTTCTATTCACAGGAAGGTGGTAGAAATGGAGGGACTAAGGATAGTCACTCAGAACTGGAAAGAAAGGTGTGTAAATGCTGATTTTTACTGAACTAATCTTGTGCTGACTTTCTGGACATGATATTGCTTTGTGATAGAGCTAAGTGAAAAATGGGAACAAGTCTGAAAAGAATCTGAGAGCAATGCATTGTCCTAGGAGCACTGGGAGGTTTTGCTTGGCAAAGTGCCTGTGAAACATTCATTCCATGTTATTTTTGTTTACTGGCATTTTAAATGTTGACAAAATATGTTGAAAAGTGGAGTTTAAGAGAATTTCTCCTTGGGCTTTCTTGTTATGCAGTGTGATGTCCACTGTCTTTTCTTGGTGCTGTGGTGATATCCCGATTTTAAAAGATCTTAAGCTTGAGAGCCAAGCTGGACTGCAGCAAAGGCATATTCTGTGTGAATACAGTGCAGAAGGGAGCTTTGAAGAGGTGTGAGCGGAGACAGCTGTCTTGGGATGATTTGTAAATTCTCATTCTGTCTTCTGGAAGACACCAGAGCAGTGTGTGATGTATCTATTACATCTCTTAACCTGCAAACCCAGAAATACAGTATCTCTGCTTTGCAATACTTAGAAATAATACTGAAACTTTTCTCTTTAGTGTCTCATCTAAAACATTTTTTTAAAGAATTATTGATGGGAGCTGTGAAATAAATGAGCCGAGTGACTGACTAAAAAAATTAATAAAATGCTGAAGCTTGTAACTGTCAAAGAACTTGTTCTTTGGTCATGAAAACTGCTAACAAGAGTTCCTTTGCCCAGTATTGCTGCAATTCCTGCATTATCTACTCTGCAGAAGGCTGACAGAAAAATTCTTGGGATTCAGATTATTGTGTCTTACGGGAACTGATAGCTTTGCAGTAGGAGAAATGTCAACACAGCTCACCACAGTATAGCTTCATGTATTTAATCCACAGCTTAGGGGAACATTTAACATGCTGGCGTTTTGTGCATGCACACATACTTCTGAGCACCTCTAGCTGTGTCAGGGAGAGGGACAGAGAAATGCAACAAATGCAGAAAAAACATTATCACAATGAGCTGGTTAGGTCAGGCATGATTGTGATCATACGACCTTTCTCCAAATTGGTGTTAAACTTCCAGTACTAAAATAATTACAATATTC